AGACAGCCCTCCCTCCCTCCCTCCCAGTGGGATTGGGGGAAGAGGACTGGAAGGGTAAAAATGAGAAAACTCATGGGTTGAGATAAGAACAGTTTAGTAATTTAAATGAAATAAAAATAATAAATTGTAGTGAAAATCAAAATAACAGAGAAATAAAACCCAAGAAAGACAAGTGGTGTAAATGAAAACAATTGCTTACCACTGACAGATGCCCAGCTTGTCCCTGAGCAGCAGCCCCTCAGCTAGCCTTCTCCCTAGTTTATTGCTGAGCATGACGCCATATGGTATGGAATACCCCTTTGGTCAGTGGGGGTCAGCTGTCCCAGCTGTGTCCCCTCCCAGCTTCTTGTGTACCCCCAGCTCTACCACTGGTGGGGTGGAGTGAGAAGCAGAAAAGGCCTTGATGCTGTGTAAGCACTGCTCAGCAGTAACTAAAGTGCCTGTATTATCAGCACCATTTCCAGCACAAATCCAAAACACAGCCCCATAGTAGCTGCTGTGAAGAAAATTAACTCCACCCTAGCCAAAACCAGTACATAGCTTTAGATGAAATGCTGACTTTTTCGAAGAATTCTATTATAAAAACATTTTCAGTAGGTAGTGAATGCAAGCTTTTTAGTTTTAATTATGATAAAGTTAGTGAGGGGAATTGCTGGGTGTAAGTTTTAGCTGTGGAAGTTTGGGAAGATAAAGTTCTGGAGAACAGGTGGATATCTTGCAAAATTATGAGAATCTTTGGTAAAAAGGTTTATACTGAGAATAAGAATGTGGTGAAGATAAAGAAAGAATATTTGTGTGCTAAAGTCAAGTGTTGGGGATGAACCCTTTTATGATCTGGTTCTTAATAGAGTTTATTTTTGGGTTCTGATTGACATTTTTGAAACTTTAAGGGAAAGAGACTTGGGATATTGGAATGTGTCATGACTTCTTTTTTAAAGATATCTACAGATATAAAAATTATGTATGTGTGGATTATTGAAAACTGCTTAGTGATTTACTTCAACAATCAAAAAGGCCAAGAAAATGTCCCTTCTGTTCTTCAGAATTTATTTCTGTATATGTACTTTTTTGCTTGGTTTTGGGTGGTGGTGAAGACCTCATTATTGAAAATAACCTTGTTTGGGAAGAAGATGTAAAAACAGTATTTTTAAAATTTTGTAGTACTGATTGTACCCTGTTTAGGATGAAGATTTTCAAGAAGTTCTCACATAATTTAGTTTTTATTGCTCAGATAAACTGTCAACCTTTCTCGTGTGTCACAAGTACTTACACATTTATATAAAATAGTTTTTCAGCATTATGTTTTCCAGCATTATGCAGCCCATAAGGTTTTGCTTACCTTGCTTATAGATTTTGCAGTTTCACAGTTTGTTTTTAATCTTTAATTTGTGATTATATTACTCTGGATTTGGCAGTGCTCATATGTTTAGAGAGCAAAATGCCCATTATTCTATGGCAGTAAATGCAACCAGAAGCACTAACAATTACATGAGCCATGCAGAACAAGCTAGGCATGTGTTACAGGTCTGAGCTGCATGTATTTCACTTGTGCTCTGTATTTGACTCAAATAGCGTGGTAGAGAGCTGCAGAAGAAGTCTGGAAATATCTAAGATTAGTAAAGCCAGCATGCTTCATATTTACCTGAATGCTTGACCAGTGGCACTGACTTTGGCTTGCTCTAACTGAGGCTATCACAAGCCTAATTTTCTTCAAGTGTCCATAAAAGGAGTCGTAAGAGAGTGGAGATTGCAGTTGTGCAGAAGAGCCTGCCCCAATGTACCCCTGTACTCGGCATGGGTGAGGCTGCACCTTGATTCCTGTGTTCAGTTTTGGGTCCCTCACTACAAAAAGGACATTGAATTACTTGAGCATGTCCAAGGAAGGGCAGCGAGGCTGGTGCAGGGTCTGAAGCACAGGTCGTACGAGGAGCGGCTGAGGGAACTGGGGGTGTTTAGTCTGGAGAAGAGGAGGCTGAGGGGAGACCTCATCGCCCTCTACAGCTCCCTGAAAGGAGGGTGCAGAGAACTGGGGATGAGTCTCTTTAACCAAGCAATAAGCAATAGGACAAGAAGGAATGGCCTCAAGTTGCACCAGGGAAGGTTTAGACTGGATATTAGGAAGCATTTCTTTACAGAAAGGGTTGTTAGGTGTTGGAATGGGCTGCCCAGGGAGGTGGTGGATTCCCCATCCCTGGAGGTGTTTAAGAGTTGGGTCAACTTAGTGCTGAGGGGTGTGGTATAGTTGGGAACTGTCAATGTTAGGTTAATGGTTGGACTGGATGATCTTCAAGGTCCTTTCCAACCTAGGTGATTCTGTAATGGTGCTAAAGTTCAGATTTTTCTTTGCTTGTGACATTAATCCCACAAAAAATGGAAAGTTTAACTATAGTACTACCTTTAAGGCCTTGACTACTCTAGAAAGAAGTGGGCTGTTTGTTTAACACTGCAGTACAGCAGGTTGTACAGCTTTAGCACAGAAAAGACGAGTGTCACTTGTTTTGACTGTGCGATATGACTAATCAAGTCAAAATGTAGTTTATATGTTCAGGTAGAAATGATCAAAATTTGTATGCTTTTTTTAACTGACATTATAGATCACATGAAAATTGTAGTTTAAAGGTATGTACTTTTCTTGGGTTTTATGTTTTGAAAACCTCAGATGATACTAACCAAAGTGTTAATTTTTACCTTTGAAGAAAAATATTTTTTTTCCAGGATGAGATTCATGAAGTTGGCTCTCTGCCTAGGATTTTATTCTACATTATGTTTTGTATATTACCTGTCATGTTTACAAGGGGTGCATTCTCCTCTGCCAGGACACACAGTGAAGAGGGACAGAGAAGAACTGCGTGTGGGGAATGATCTGTACTTGACTATTGTGTTTTGAGGGCAGGGTGAGCAGAGGCTACAGTATGTAATAGGGGAGGAGTGGCAGAGGAGGAAAGAAGGAATTGGAGAAAGAAAGTTAATGAGTGTTGTATGGAACAAAGGCTTATTTGCCATGAGTGAATTGAAGTAATTGTTCTTTATGTGAAGATGAACTTGCATTGTTGCCTGGGTAGGAGTTTATTTGCTTCATAAGGCTGGTTGAATTAATTGGTTAGATGTGCTGTAATCTGCGTGACTGCTATTTTTAAAAAGGTAGAATTCACTCCAGCATTGCAACAGAAAGAAAAATATCTTTTTTTTTTTTTTTTTATTTAAGGTCTTGAGTTTCTTCTTGGAACTCAGTCTTTCTCCAAGGGGTTTCTGGTGGCTGAGCTTGAACTAGCTCATAAAAAGAAGTAACAAGGTGGTTCGTGTCTCCCTGCGTATCTGTTGCTTAAGAGACACTGAAATCAGGATGGTGGTTTTTTCTCAGGGGGAAGGTCATCCCCTGCACTTGATGGTTGGTGAGCCTTGTGACTTTTTTTTTCCTCCCTCAAATGCGGATAACTTTGAGTGCAAAATCCATAGTAACTGGGGAACATGGTTATAATTTATTGTGGCTTAAAAAAATTTTCCCCCAAATAGAAAGCGTTTTTTTTCATTGGTATAGGGAAGAACTAGGACTAGGCCCTGCCATTCCAAAGCGCTTTGAGGAGACACTTCTGTAATATGGTCAACCTGATGTAACTGCTGATGGCAGGAGGCCTTGAGACTGTGGGATCTGATCTCTGCTTTCTTCTGCTTTTTTTCCCCCCCATTTTATTCCTTGCAGTCTTTATGTACATCTTACACCACACTGAGCTACTTCAGAGACCGAACCCACTAGAAAACTGGTTTTGCTGTTTCTTTTCTGCTGTTATAGAGGTATCTAAACTGGCCTGGCAGAAGTGATTGGAGCAGCAAGGTGGAAGAGGAGGAAGGAAAGTGGGACTTTTGACATCTAATCAGCTCTGTTGTGCTGCACCACTTTTGGAGGTGGGAGCTGCTGTGGGAGACTGAAGAGAGAGACCTCCAGTCACTTGCCTCTGGGAACTGAGAAGTGGGGAGGCTATGTGAGAACACCATGCTTGAGTGAATTTGGAGAGAAGGGGGTTTCCTGGAAAAGATGGTTTGAAGGGGGAGAAGCTGCTTCTGCCCCTCTGAAATTCTTCTTCAGGTCTTTCCTGTCTTCTCTGGCTTCCCTGTCTCCACCTTCTCCTGCTTTTGGAGCATGTTCTGTTGCTTTCAAGTGACTCAGCTTTGCCTGGGCACCTTCAAAACCAAGTGCAAGTTCTGAGTGCTAAATGCAGCTTTTATCTATTACGCACGTCCTGATGTGTCAAGATATTCCACCCCTGCTCCTGTGCTATACAAGCTAAAGAAACTGGCTTCCTATTAGTATGAATTGTTCTAAAAAGCAGATTACTCTTCATGTCTTTACCTTATTAGGCAGGAGAGGAGAGTGGTTGTCCAAGGGATTAATTTTCCTACATTGCTTGTAGAGGATGAAGTGTCAAGGACAAATGAGAGGTTGTTTACTTTTTAAAATTTTTTAAATAATGAACATGTGTTCATTCAGAACAGTGAGTTTGTGGTTATATCCTTTCCACATACGTGTTTTCCAGGTTCTGGAAACTGTCTGGAGAGGTTAAAATTTTCTTTTCAAATGCTCTATTTCTGAACTTGGAAAGAACATCTTACAGAAGCTAGGGTAGTGTGCTGCTTCTGAAACCACAAAAAATAACTGGAGAGTATTAATGGCCTGCTTTTCAAATACTCTTCATTTCAAAGATGGAAATGGAAGTTTTATAGGTGCATTAATTAGCTATAATTTTAAATTCAGCTTTGAGCAATGCAGCTTTTTCTTTTTTTAACACAAACAGGAGTAAACTTCAAGGAGTTTCCATACAATGATTTTCAGTTCCTGCTATAACTTCTGTTATTCCTTGTACATATATGGTTGGTGGTTACTGGGATCTTGAAGCACACATCTAAATGATCACTCTAAAAAACCCCACAGCAAATTATTCCACTGAAAAATTTTAATGAAGAACTACTCAATCTCTTTGGGCTTTTTTTTTTTTTTTTTAATTGTATAAAAATATAGTATATCAAGGGAATTCCTGTCAGGATGCATAATTAAAAACACTGTAGTTTTAAATCTTTTTCTGGATGGCTAGCATCATGCATCTGGATGACTAATATTCAGTTCATCTTAAAGAACACTTTATAAGTAATATTGATGGAGTACAAACAGTGGAATACAAGTGTTTTGCTTTAGTTGACATGCTTGGATAAAAAGCTTCCAGTATCTTCATACTTCATGCTGAATATATTGTATATTTGTTTACTGAAAACAAAGGGTTTTTTTTCAAAACAAAACATTGATTCTTCTTCTCTTTTGATGCCATTAGTAGGCATTAAGGTACTTCGACAGGCCTTGTTGAGATGGGAATATTCCAGAAAGGCAGTGGAAATGGCGTTGTGGAAAGCTGGCAGATTTTTTGCCCCTGAAAATTGTTTCCACACTTGCCCTATTGGATTCAAGTTGTCCATGGCGCCTGGATGTGCTGCCTATCATGGTGACTGTTTAATAGATGTAATAGCAGCCTGCTATGTAAAGGGTAAGGGAGGAACCTTCACTCTTCCAGATGTCAGTGCAAGCTTCATCCTTCATCTCAACCAAAGTACTTTTTATTTATATAATGGCAGAACAATGATTTGCTTTTTGTTGTGTTTTATAAAGCTGCTCTTGAACTCATAATGTTCTGTGGTCTTGAGATGAATAGACAAGTGTACACTTGTGAAAGTGTTTCCCTTTCATTTGTGTTCATTAGTCATTAATGCCAGAGTTCATCCTATTTTCTCATGTTACGTGCTGCTTCTCAAAAAGAGAAATTCTGTTTTCATGTTAAATGTTTAAAATACTTCTTTCATACGACAAGATAAAGCAGTATTACAGTGATTTTTTTCAAATGGTTCATGTTCGGTGCTGCAATGTGCAGCTTTCTAATTAGAGGACAATACCTATCCTACTGGGCATTATCTCAAAATCTCTGAAATTGATTTTAGCTGCAGCAAATATTACTGGATTAACATGTGTTTACCAACCTGTAATGATAACAATTGACATTTATTCTATCCAGTGGTCAAAATACTTTTTTTTTCTATGTCAAAATGTGGTGGTAAGCAGAAAGCAGTTTGTCTCTTAATTTCTGTGGTATGGTTTGCTGCTTTATTTTCTTTCCCCACCCCCCTCCAGTCAGTTTTCCACTCAGGCAGCTTTCTTATGCTAGATCCCCCTTTTCATGATGAGTACTTAATGCCGACTCACAAGTTTTCACAATTGCTTGGCACCGTTGGCAGGAGTGTGCTCACATGTGTGTGGGTACTCTGACCACAAAAAACCACCTTCTTGTACCTTTTTTATTTTGGTATTAATTAGTTCAATATTCTGGCTTTTAAAGGTGTTGGGGGTGGGGAATAGGCAGTTTGTGTTTTCCTTTATATGTAGCGTCAGGGAAAAGCAATTTTGAGCATTAGATAGCAAATTTGCTGTTGTTTCTGCCTTTAGTGAAAGGAAGGCTTAAAGTTTCTGCAGTGTTATGTGAAATGATAAGGATAAACTCTTGTTTTCAAGAGTGTTGCAGTGTTATGTGAAATGATGAGGATAAACTCTTGTTTTCATGTGAACTTTACAGAAGTGTGGTAAGACAGCATGGCTACTTCATTTTTCAAATACATTTTATTCCCTCTTACTTTGTGAACTGAATGATACATCCCTTATAACTAAAATGCTGTGGGATTTTTCTTTTTTTCCTTCCAGACAAACTGTATGCACACTCCATAGGCCAGATAACCCTGTTGTACAGCATCTCTTTACTCACTAAGTAAATAAGAGTGTAACTTGAATTTCAGCCAGAACTTTCTTTGCAGGTTGAAGTGTTGCTCTGATTTAATCTTGTAGGACCTGCCTGTCCCAGATGCCAGTTCTCTTTGCCTGGTCAACC